GAAATGGGTCCTGTAGTCTCGTCCTGTAACCATCACACCCTCTTCAGAGGGAGACTTAAGTTTTGCCATGAGGCAAAGCATCAATTTGGATGGCCTTCACACACCCAGAGGTAGCAGAACATTTTGAAGCCAGAGGAAGAAAATCCAGAGGGCAGCACAAATGCTGGTTAAGCTGTAACGATGAAGCTGAATTGTTGGCTAACCAAAGGCTGCCTTTTAATGGCAGCCCAAATCCAGGTGCCTGGAGTGGGCCTGGCACACCCTGCCTAAGGCGAGGTTCACTCTGCTTAAACAAAAGAAAGGAAAGGGGGAGCATCAAAGCTGTAGAATATAAAGGGAGGGAGGCAGAGAGAGGAATGAGGTCCGATGGAAATCCTCCTCAGTGGCAGTGAAAGAATAACAAACCACAATTCCAATGAAACAAGATGAACGAACATCCTGGCACCCGTGGCTAAAGGTTAGAGATGATGAAACCTGTGGTCCAAAACACCTGGACTGGTACTAGTGGGTTCCGAAAGGCCAGTATAAAATTATTCATTGCCTGAGTTTACATGTAAGAGACATAATTGGAAGACACAATTGAAAACAATTCTGATTATAGTAGGTTGTTGTTTTAAATTCTGCTATAGTTTTAGGTCTATTTCATTAAGGCGAGGTTTGCCTCTTGTCTAACCAGGGAAGAGAAAGGGGCTTTCCCAGGTATTCGATGACATATGATGGACTTTAACACATCAGTCAAACTGTGTATGTGTGTTGGTGCTGTTTACTTGTTTATGTGTTGGCTGTATTTCAGTGGATAGTTGTAACTGTTTTGTAATGATTTTGTGTGTTTAACTTCCACCTTTTTACAATTAAAAAACCTGGTCTTTTTCTTAGAAAGGTATCTACAAAATAGCAATATCCAATAATAATATGCTCCGTTTTCTATGGTGCATTATACTGGATTAATCTAATAGTACAATCCTCTGAATCTCTACCAAAGCGAAAGTTCTATGACAGTCAGTGGGGTTTACTCCCAGGAAAGTGTTATAAAATTGCAGCTTAAATTTTAAAGCTAATTCTGATCATGTATTTTTACAACCTGCTGTGAGCTTTACACATCATTTGCACCATACATAATTTTACAGTATGTCATTTGGATTAATGCTTGTTATCATTTCACTGGCACTGAAGGTTTCCACCAACATATATCAGACAATTGACATTTTTATTAAAGTTTGCTATATTAAAGTTTCAGCACCATTTTGAAGTTGCTTCTTGTTGTTGTTCTATTGCCCTGTTCACATCAACGGCACCCTGTGACCATCCTGTTGTCTGTCTAAAATTTTATTTATTTATTTATTTATTTATTTAAAATATTTATATGCCTTCCTGTTTGCAAAAAAGCCTCAGGATGGCTTACAATGTAAAATATAAATAATATAAATAAAATTCCCGACCCACACTGGCTGCAATTAAAAACATAGAAAAGACAATATTAAACTTATTAAAATACTGCTGGAATAAAAAGGTCTTAACCTGGCGCCGAAAAACAAATAACGACAGCGCCAGGCGGACCTCTCTGGGGAGCGCATTCCATAGATGGAGAAACAAGAAGAAATAAAAATTGGAGAAACAAGAACATCAACTTCCTTCCCTATCAGGAAAAAGAGGATATTTTCCCAACTTTTGATGAAAACGTGTAAGAAAAACCATTTCACACAGAGCAGATGAGTAAGACAGACATGTACCAGCAAGCACAGAACCACCAAAATACCTCCATGGAATCTGCCCAGGGAAATTCTGCTCTCAGGAAAAGGTTGGGCTGATTTATCATGCATATTCTTCATTTAATGACTTAGGGGCACCATTTTGCCTGTGTGAATGGGCAGTCGCAGGCAGAACTGCTGTATCAACTCCCATTACCTTAAAGTGTCAGACCAAACAGAGAGAATTCCCACCTACAGCCACAAGCCATCAATCAATAATCCAACAATGAGAAAACAAGTTAATGACCAGGGATTTGATCTGATTATGAGACCTTAAAGTGGATCACACATGCACAATTTTCTAGAGTTTCTGAAAGCTCCTATTTGCATTAAGATGCCACTAATCCACATGTTACTATTTACCAAACAAAAACTCACTGAGAAACATGCAGATTTGTAGAATTCCACTCATGGAAATCCAAGTTATAACATACTTGCACCCACAGCAAAATTTGTAACACCTATATTGTAATCATAAAGGTACACTGCAGGACCAAGAATAAATTGGGCACACACGCTGTACTAGTACACAGAGGCTAGAATCCAGATCTCTGGGTCTCTGCAGCATTGCAGGAACCCACTTCCAAATTCAGCAGGACACCCACTGCTAATTCAATTAAGCAAAACTGCATTACATCCTTCCTGGGGTGGGAATATGCCACCTTTTACAGCCTGGGCCAGCTCCAAACATTGCTGGTGCCAAAGATGGAAACTCCCAGAAGCAGTATGATATTAAGAGAAGGCAGAGTCCACAAAATCGCCATCCCACACCCTTCTGATTAGATAAACTTCCCTTGTTTATTTATGGGAAAAGATAGTTGAATTATACATTGCACAATGGATAATTGATGGAGCATAGTCTCACAGGGTGTGGCAACAGCTGGTAGCCGAGATGGCTTTAAAAGAGGACGCATTCATGTGAGGGGGAGAGGCCTGCCAACAGCTGCTGCCCCAACAACTAAACAGAACCTCCATGTTCAGTGGCAGCCATGTACTGAACACTGGTTTCTGCGGAGCAAGAGCAGGAAACTTGAAGGCTTTCTGGACATTTCTAGTTGACCACTGTGGGAGGCAGGTTGTTGGATCGTAAGCCTTCCCCAACCTGGTACCCTCCAGAAGTTTTGGACTTCCACTCCCATCAGCGCCCATCGGTGATCAGGAATCCCACAAGCTGTGATCCAAAACATCTGGAGGACAGCAGACTGCTAGAACCAGGGCTCTGAACCAGGGGCAGTTTTAAGTCCTGCAGGGTAATTTCCTTGCGGACTGCACCGCATGGGACTGATCGGCCACTCTGAAAGATGCCTAAGCATCAACGGCTGAGAGAGCATCTTCACACGGCTTTGGAGTGGAGCAAACTCTGCTTCTACCTATGTTAGGGGTGTTTCTGATTATGGCCTGGTACCGTTACCACTTCCTGTTCACTTTAAAACATTCTGCACCAAGAGCTGGATGCACACAGAGCAATCCAGCTGCCATTTTGGCGTGCCATCTACCACAGCTTACAAGAACTCCACCCCATTCTCAGCAAGACACCTTGGCTAGGTCATCTGGTCAGGACGTGTCCATTTCCAGGGAGTGCAAAGTAAGTTATTCAGGTAACCCATGAGGCTTTGGGTATGAATGCGAGCTGTCCCTTAATTGGCTCCCCCAAAGTTTTCTGAAAATTTGGGCAAGAGGTTAATCGACCAGAACATCTTCTGGTTGTACAGTCAAAGCTCCACAAAGCTCCAGAAAGAAACATCACACAGAATGACAGAAAGGAATGCTCTCTGAGTGAAGCAGGATGGTATGTCCTGCAAATAGGAAAAGAAATTTTCTGCTCAGAAGGATGAATCAGGTGGCTGATCACCAACGAAACAATAAAGGAACCTGGGTCAACATTCCAAACCAGGGGAGAGAGAAAAGGTGGTCCAATTTGCACACTGTAGACAGCTGATAACGAGTTAAAAAGGATCATGTACTGAAGGGAGTTTAATTTGCAACCAATCCACCTTTCCTGGCCTGCCACAGCTTTGTAGGACTGCATAATTGTGGCAGGACATGCCGCACGGTATGAATCGGACCCGCCGGTTTGCCATGTATAAAGGGCTGCAGCGACTCCTGAGTGCATCAACACTTTGGATGCCTCCTGCTTCCATTCACTCTGTGCCCCAACCCCTTCCCAGTGCACAGATGCCCAGACTCTTTGATGGCCCTCCATCTATCAGGGGCAGAGACACAACCCTGTGCAAGCTCAGCCTGCCGTGAAGACATCCCAGGACAAGCTTCATCAGGCTAATGAGACAAGCCAGCTCAACTGGTCAGAAATGGGAAACTCAGGAATGAGCGGCCCCATCTCTCTCCCACTCCCTTTTGCATGAGACCGGAAGCATGGAAAACAGTTTCTTTCATTTAGAACCATAAATGCCTCATAATGATAATATATTTTGCATATCCGTTTCCTTAAAGCAAAGATGCATTTTAGACAGCCTCAGACATGGATTTCATTCTCTATTTGGCTGAATCAGCTTCTTTTCGATAATAAGTCTAGGAGGCCAGGGCCCCTTCAGCAAGTGGGCCCCAAAGACACTGAGAAATGATGCCTCAGAAGACAAAACTCCACCTCCTTTGAAGGATATAAATTATCCTGAGACCTGTTCCCTTCTTCCTCATGCAGCTTTGGTTGGTTGTTCACCTGCTATGCCTGACTGTGCTTTTTAGCTGACAGTGGTAAAGTATGTACTCTGAAACACAGACCATGACACAGAGTGTACCTGTGATCCTGCGGATGAGGAAGTTGGCTCGGTGGTTTAAGGAAGGGAAGATTTAAAAAAAATCATCTGGTTTGCATTAATTTCTACATGAATCAAAACACTCATCCTTTCCTATTCCCCCCTTTCAATTCGTCTATACAGTTTCCTGTATAGGTATCTGTACAAAAATGCATAGAATGGTGAAACTAACTTACAAAAACACATTATGTTAGGAAAAATGGCTTGAAAAAAGGGTATATTAAGAAATGTGTGTACAAACATCCACAGATTGGAAGAAATGTATGCAAGCATTGGTAAACATTTTCATGCAGAATTCTTTAAAAAATGGAAATTGATGCAAATCTGTAACGAAAGAAATTTAAGCTTGGGAGAATGAAAAACTGAATGAACCCCAGCTTGATAAATTCTTTGATCTTTAGTCAGAACAGAGGGGATTCTAGGATGAACTCTGGGTGGGACACAGGAGTCAGAACGGCTGAGAACAAGTGAATCCTACCTGAGACCTCTATGGTCACGTGGCCAACTGCAGTCACACCTCCTTCTTTTGACATAGTATAGTTTCCAGAGTCATTTAATGTTAAATTACGGATGTGAAGGGAGCAGTCTGCGCCCACCGTCTCTCGCCCAGTATAGGAAGGTCCATTAACTTGCCCTTGAGCAACTGGAGGTAAGTAATAGACAAGGATCCGCTTTGTCACATCAGTTACTGTCCCTCGGAACCAGCTGCAGCTGACAACCTTTTCCAAGGTTCCTCCTGCTTTTAGGGTCATATTCTGTCCTGTTCTTGGATATTGGGGTGTCCATGTGATGGGTATTACTTCCTGGGCTTGAGTCAGCGGGAGGCAGGAACTGAGGATGGCGGCTGCAATGTGGAAAAGAAGAATGAAACATTCACTTCCAGCAAAGTCCCCTCTGGGCAGCAAGAACTGGGCTTTCCCCATTACAGATTACTCTCTTAATGAGCTTGTCAGACGCTCCAACCAAAACTATCCCTCATTTATACAGGTGTCTCATTCTTCCAAAAAGTATGTACACAATACCGTGACACTGAACATAATCAGTTGTGATTATGAAGACATGATAAATCAGAACATATCTTTATACATACCCCACCCTTCCTCACAAGGAGCCCAGAGTGGCTAAATAATTGCATAAAATGGAATACAAATAAATCCATTTCATTGCAAAAGGATAAAACCCCCCTGACATCTTGAGAAACACAGCTCAATTTGGCCTCCAGGAGAGGTGCTACACCAGGCAGAACTGTGTAGTCATTGTTTATTTAAGCCATTCTTTTTAGATGTTTATGTTTATTTTACTTTTATCATTTACTTTATTTCTTTTCTTGTTAGTTGGCTCAAGTGTGGGACTGCGGAAATGCATTGTTATTGTAATACAAGGTGACTGTTTTGCTATTTTATTGTATTTTTAATCTAGCCTTATTTTTAATCTTGTATTCTGAGAATCAAATTAGCTATGGAGGACAGTATTTAAAAGCCTGCATACAGAAAAATGATTCTATGATCCTATGAAATCAGCACAATGAGATAATATAGAAAGTTGATTTGTACCTACACATGTACACACACACACACACAATTACTATGCTGTTTGAAATCCTGACACACAGAGATGAACTGGAGAGGAGACAAGCCCGGAATCTTTTCTCAGATTCCTGCTTGGTGAGCAGAAATTTTTTTGTACAGAGAGCAGAATTCAGTTGTTTCTCTACATACCTTCTGAACTGGAATCTTCAAAAAAGCCCAGCCTGACCTTATCTATTTGCAAAACTGAAGCCAAAAGCATGCCTGCAGAGGAAGGAGTTCCCTGGGCCTTCTAGAATTGGCTCTTCCCTTTGCAACTCAACCAGGAGGAAGAAACCTTGCTATTCAACATCCACATGAAACCGCTGGGAGAGGCCATCAGGAGGTTTGGGCTGCGGAATCATCAGTACACTGATGATACCCAGCTCTACTTCTCTTTTTCAACTGATCCAGGTGAGGCAGTGGTTGTACTGAACCAGTGCCTGGCTGAGGTAATGAGCTGGATGAGGGCCAATAAACTGAAGCTCAATCCAGACAAGATGGAGGTCCTGTTGGTGGGTGGTTCGAGCTCCTGAGTAGGTGACTTGGACCTTGCCCTGAATGGGGTTGCACTCCCTCTGAAGGACAGGGTCCGCAGCTTGGGAGTGCTCCTCGACCCAGAGCTGTTCCTGGAAGCTCAGGTGACAGTGGTGGCGAGGAGCGCTTTCCTTCAGCTTCGGTTAATCCATCAGCTGCATCCCTACCTGGAGGACGATTGCCTAGCGACAGTGACGCATGCATTGGTTACTTCCCGGTTGGATTTCTGTAACGCGCTCTACGTGGGGCTGCCCTTGAAGACAGTCCGGATACTTCAGATGGTGCAAAATAGAGCAGCCAGGTTGCTGACGGGGACTGGGCGTTACTCTCACATAACCCCAGTCCTCTACCAGCTTCACTGGCTCCCCATTGAAGTCCGGGCTCAAATCAAGGTGCTGCTTATTACCTATAAAGCCCTTAACGGCTTGGGACCTGGATACCTAAAGGAATGCCTTCTTCTGTATTTACCCTCCTGCCCCCTGAGATTGGCAGCAGAGGCCCTCCTCCGGGAGCCCTCCGGGAGAGACATCAGGAGGCAAAGTACCCGGAGGAGGGCTTTCTCTGCGGTGGCACCCCACCTGTGGAATGCGCTCCCCAAAGAGGTCCGCCTGGAGCTGTCGTTATTTGTTTTTTGGCGCCAGGCGAAGACCTTTTTATTCCAACAATATTTTAATAACTTTTAATATCAGTTTATAGGTTTTAATATGCAGCCAGGGTGAATCTGGATTTTATCTGTATTATGTTTTATTTATGTAAGTCGTCCTGAGGCTCTGCGATGGGATGGCATACAAGTGCTATAAACAAACAAACAAACCAACCAACCAAAGCAGGAAATTTCCTCATTCAGAAGAGGAACCTTCAAGGGCAGCTATACACAACCGGGGGCCTCCAGATGTGCTATCCCACAACTGGCGTCATGCCTAGTCAGTAGGGCCGACAACCGTGTGGGTTGCCGGTGAGAGGAGCTGTAGGCCAGCACTTCCGGAGGGCAACCACTTGAGCAAGGTGGCCCAGGTGCTGCAGAAGACCCTGTCTCAAGAGCTTTTCAAGACGAAGCAGCCATTCTGAGCCAGCGTCTCTCAGCTTCCGAGCACGCCCTCCCGCAGACCAAGAGGGTCTGTTCTCACGAGCACCCCAACAGTGCTTCCACTGTGGTCCCCCAAACACCAGCCCACCAATCATTGCACCAAAGAGCTCATCCAGTTCTTTCAGCGCCTGGCCTGAGGTCAGTGCAAAAGCCCAGCTGTGGCGACAGGTCGGAAGAACCAGGCCCTAAAGCTTCCTGCTCAGGTGCTTTAGCATTCATGTGGAAGTACAGGAAGAAAGAGGCTCGGCATAACTCATCTTCCTTGCCCATGTCTAGAAGGTGCAGCATAAAAGGAGCATATTTAAACATACTTCATTTGCATAACCGATACAAGCCACAGCACCCAGCTTTTGTCAGCACAGAACTCCGGTTAATCCGGTGCACTGTATTAATTGTTCCAGGGCAAGGAACAGGCAGCACTGCCAGTTGTCACCCTGTAAATATTATTCACCCATTGTCAAATGTCATTGATGAAAACCTCAAGAACAAAGACAGCAAACTTTACAATGGGGATCCAGATGAGAGATGCCGGGGGAGAACAGGGATCGGATCAGCTCATGTTGTGCTCTTTTTCCAGGTGGGGCTAATGGGAGTAATTTATGGTCGGTGAGAATTACTGGTACTCCTTTCCCCAGCACTACTGTCCTGGCTAAACTAACTGAGCGCTAATATGAAGCGCTCCAAACTTTCTGAAGAAGGGTGTGTCCATGATTCAATGACTGTATCACCACTTTCCACATCATGTTTGTTTAGGCAGTCAAAATTCTTTTGCTTTTTGCAGACGCAGCTTCCACTCAGTTCCATGGAACTACATTCTGCTCTCTCAGATAACTTGGTAGGTTTGTTTTTTTTAAAAAAAAAAATGTGCTGGGGATTCCCAGAAAAGGAGTGAATCCTTTAGAAGCGTGCACAACACAAGCATCGTAGTTACTCTTTCCTGCGGGGAATTCCTGCTCCCTATCACTCACAGTGGATGATGGTCTTCGCTCTCCCCCCAGTTTATCTTTATCACTCTTTCCAGCATGAAAATCACAAACAGGATAGCCAGTGTGGTGTAGTGGTTAAGAGTGCGGGGTGGGGACTCAGGCGATCCAGATTCGAGTTCCCACCCGGCCATGGAGCCAACTGGGTGACTTTGGGCCAGTCACAGACTCTTGGCCCAGCCTACCTCACAGGGTTGTTGCTGTGGGGGTGAAAATGAGAACAGGAGGAGGTTGAAAGAGTTCTTTATAAGAAAAGAGGTGGGATATAAATCTAATAAATAAATAATTTATCTATTTACTAAAAGCTTTTGTATGCCATCCTATTCTACAAGATCTCAGGACGGCTTACAATATTTAAAAGGACAATTAAAACAACAATTTCAATAATAAAACAGAACAAAACAATAAACCAAACTGAGCAACTAAACTTTTTGGCACCAGGCCGAAACCCTTTTATTTAAGGTTTCGGCCTGGTGCCAAAGAGTATAAACTTAGGATTCCTGTGCAGCAGAATTCCGTGGCGAGAGACCAGGGGCATCCGAGGTCACGGGGCACCGGCCAGCCAACTGCATGCGCACCTTTGGCTTAGAGGAAGTGAGCCTGGGCATTCCACAGGCTACTTCTGCCCAACGGGGAAAGCTTCGTCTCATGTCAATATCTGCATGATGAGGGTTCCCTCCAGCCTATACAAAATCAACCTGTTAACCTGTTTCTGTCTCACCGGCCTCTTTGCTCCCTATTAATCTAGTCCGCCAGCTCTGGCCTGATCCTGATTCCATCTACTATGGAAAGAGGCTTGTCCTACAGCCGAAAGAAAAAGGACTCTTTGGCAGGGCACGTGCTCCCAGTATTAGAATATTTAGATACTGGCCCAAGCAAGCCAGTACAAATCCCCTCTTCCCCCAACACCAAGGTTCATAATGTCCCAGCTGGCCAAAGGCAGAAACCTGTGCAACTTATTCTCCATCCAGGCAAAAATAACAGATCAATTGCTTTTTAATTAAAACCACCCCCACCATTCCCAGTTCCATGATGGAGAGGCGGCTGCCTGTGCGAAGCTCTTGCAGTCACGCTGCCGAAAGGCAGGGCAGACTGCCCTTAAACTCACCTGAGGACAGGTGAACGGAATGATCTGTTCTGTAGCAAGTTTGAAAAGGTCCGTGCCTACACCCCCTTCGGCCACCCCTGGAATCAGGGCCGCTTGTTCTTGTATATCCCAGTAACGTGAGAAAGAAGCTCCGCGGGGGGCGGGGGGGGTAGGGGACAGAGAAAAGGAGACGGGGGGCTTCCGAAGGGCCCCCCGGGTGGAACCCTCGCCAAAGCCGCTCCGGGGCAGCCCCCGGGTGATTCCTTTCCTTCGCCCTCGCCTTTGCGCACAGGCGCCTTCCGGCCAACGGCACAGAAACGCACCGGCCCGTTCCCGCTCACCTGCGAGGAGCGTCGCCGGCCAGGAGCCCCCGCAGCCCGGCTGGCGACAAGGCGGCGGCCGCCGCCCCGCCCGGGTCTCTCCCATCGTGGCGCCTGCGGGCGTCTCGCTCGCTCTCTCGCTCGCTCGCTCGCTCGCCCGCCTGCCTCGCAGTCCGCCCGGCCGCGCTCGGCGCCTGCAGCTGCCTCCGCCGCGGCCCCGGCCCCGGCCCCTGCCCTCGCCCTCGCCGGCGCCGCCCTCCGGTGGGCCGGCC